TGGTGTACTGATGTGGATATTTTGACCGATACAGACTACCAATATATTTTTGTCAAACACCACCGATACCTATAACCAGCTAACCTCTGACCCACCTGCTAAACGGGGTGGGGGATGTTGCTGGTAGGTGGCGAGCTTGCCTACAGATTAGCAGAATGACGTTACATCATCTTTTATTATTATTCTGTGGAAAATAGAAGATCAATCTATGGGCTAGCTTTAATAATGCATTAAAAACATGTTGCAGGCCTTATAAAACTGGTACTTTGAGCCCTCGTCTAAGTGGTTGACTGACAAAACAAAATCCCTTGTTCATCAGTAAAGAAAATGGCTGATTATTTTGGACAATCATCACCAGTATTTTCGTAGCTATGTCATTAGCTCTGTTGCTGCTATCTTTCAAAACTGATTAAGGTTAAAGATCAGCTGGCAAAACTGGCCAAGATTTGCACATTGGACTGATATCTTGTTTTTTAATAAATATTGGCCAATACTGATATGTCAATCGATATAATGTGCATCTTTAAGCCATATTTTTTAGCTGAAGTCCTCAGTCAACCACAAATTACACTGAAAAGTCTAAGTGTAAAGTTGTGGTTTATTTTACTCCCCAAAGATTAGTGCAAGAGGAAATTCTAGAGGAAAAAAACATGTGAACCACCCCTCGATATATTTTATATTAGCTGTTTAAGTAAGGCATCAAAGAGCTTATCAACTATGCTTAATCAAGGAGGACACATTAATTCGTTATAGAATTTTCAGGCAACCTTAAGAACCGGCAAAGGAAAAAATGTGAAGTTGAAGCCCTGATTACACAATTACATGCACTTCAGTGAAATGCACTTCATCCTTTCACTGATAGATTCATAATCAGATCCTGGACTTCATCTTTTTACATGATATGTTCTGCCATCAGTTCCACAGAATTTAACTACTGTTTCCCAAATATAACATCAAATCCAAATACTCCTTCAGTTGGAGCTCAGGATGTAAATCATTCAACTATTTTCCTCCCCAAATTTGACAGATAGGTTCAGATGATTGATGATACCAGAGCTTCATCACTGCAGTGGTAGAAGGTTTACGTTTCTCTACCAATGTAATGAAACTTAATGAAAACTAAAAAAAAAAAACATCCACAAAGAACCCTACAGAAGATGTAAATGTAGCCTAAGGAGAACATGGGAATCATCAATAGAAGACGTGTATATTGAGAAAAAAAAAACTGTTTAAGGATGTAAAAACAAGAATTAAGAATTATTCCACTACAAGAGACACAACAGAAGGAAACAGAACTAGTACTTTGACAAAAACGTTACAGTCAAGTACTATAGATAGAAATCTGTTGAGTTCAATTTTCAAATGTTGCTTAAGTAATGACATGGACTTGTTATCAGGATTAGGTTCTAAGCAGGCAGTGCTGTTGTCTCTTAGACCCGTGAAAGCTACACAGGCAGAAATTCTTAATTGGGAAGTAAGTCCCATTATGAAGAACCTAAAGTAAATGTGTTTTCAACAAAACCATAGGGGGTGGAGGTCCTGTTGTCTGCATATATTCCATGTTAAGAATTTGTCTGTAAGACATTTCCATAAAGTAGTATGTAGTTTTACAGTATTCTTGAGCCCTGACTCTCTCAGAGACAGAACATAGCCCAAATAAGACTTTTCAATGGGAAAGTAAATCAAGTATGGTCAGTAGTGGAAATTTTGATAAATCAATAAGTAAAACAGCATTGTTTGTACAAGCACAGCTAACTTTAATGATTTCCCGCTTTAGAATAGATAAGGCATTATAATGTACAGAGTTAAGATTACTGGGGGACTTAGAGATAGGCCTCTGTAAACCAGTAGCCACACATGAAAATATTAAAATAAATCACATTTTACACAGAAGGCAATGGATATTTGTTCCAGCTCTCTTTCTCGACCCATCTCTCACTTTAAAGAAAATCTTAACAAGGCCAGGAAGAATTCATTCTATTCATACTATGTGTACAAATAAAAGCACCTTCAAACATGTAGAAGCGAAATCAAGCCTTCACATGCACAAGCCTGGGCGTGCAAACAGATGCAGCTTACCTCCTGTGCACTGGGGACAGAAACAGCATGCAGCAAGACCTCGATAGATACAAAAGCTACAAGAGGCATCAGGAAGCCCAGTTTGCTGCCCTACAGGCAAGCAACAGTACAAGGGATTCATAATGTTTTTCATCTGCGGTGTTAAGGAAGGCAGCCAAACCCTTGAGACTGCCAAACAGACATAGGCAAAAAAAAAAAAACACTACACACAATCAGTTGTGTTTCCCTGTCACTGAATAATCACTTTGCAATAACCTTAGTACTTACTGGATGAGACCATGAGAAAACGTGTATAAGCGTAACTTATTCAAATATTTCTGTTCTGTTCTCGGCCAAATGCCGAGTTTTGTTTGCATTCTTCTACCATGTTCGTGACTTCCTCAACATGCCAGCTGGAGCAGCATCGCCATTATCTTCACCAGTAAAAGCAACATTACTGAAGATGTAATGGCTGTGTGGCTCAGATGTTTCTGAGGAATTCACTGGTTCAGATTTGGGCTGCGTGATATGTCTTAACACAAAACACAAGCAACCGCTTACAAATACAACATGTAATGCTTGTATGATACAAGATTTTATTTGGCTCAGTACGAGTGCTGCTGAAGTTCATAAAAAATGCAGTAGACTAGACAGGATAATAAAAGCCAACATGTATAACACAATGAGCCCAGCTTCACCCTAGCCTGTTGTGTTTACAGAAGGGAAAGAAAAACATACTCAATACTTGTCTGCAGGAGCAGGTAGCCAGGAACCACTTTTATATCAAAGTAAGTATTATGAAATAATCATGAACACTCATGCTCATCACAGAAATATACAGAAAAATGCAAAGATGAAATAAAGCAATTAGCCATCTTTTTACTTTCTACAAATCAGTTCACTACAAATATTGTTAAATATTTACAAAGCACACACTGCATAATTTGTATTTCCCAAATGTTCAAGACAAGCTTTGGGCAAAACGGGGAAGGACAAATATGCAACATTTTAATAACACAAAATGCGTGAGGCAAGAGAGCTTTTACTGCTATTGCCACGAAAATATGGAAATTAGTATATTTTCGAATTATTCTATTTTTCGAAAAACTGCAAGAACATTTATTTCTTAAGTCAGCTCATAGTTTAAGCCAGTTTTTAAACAGTACAGAGCAGAAGCTTGTAGATTACTGTAAGGACTAATTAAGTTATCCTGGTCATCATCTACATAAGTATGTTGCATGTGTGCGTGTGTTTTGTTGTCTTGGTATAGTGAGGCAGGAATGCCCAGCCACTAGTTCTTCAAGAAACTACAGCAGGTGGTAGGGTTTTATACAATACTGAAAAAAGCAAACGCCTGTTCAAATTATAGTTCAATAAAACCCTGCATGAACTTTCTTTTTACAGTTGAAAATTTATGAAATACAGAACCCACAAGCATGTAGCTGCTGGTCACTTAAAAGGCTTGCGCAATATTTGACACTAGATTGGGCTTTGGTAAAATATTTAACTGTATACAATCTCTTGTGAAAGAGCTCACGTCAACAAAGAACTCGAGACGATTTGTCCATTTGCAAATTCCCTGGAACTGATTATTTTCAAGGCTAAGATTAAAATATTACTAAGCTCCTGTGTTGTTAATTAGCATTTTTACGCAACGGCGTTTTCCTTGAACTTTCTGCGCCTCGCCGATTGCCAGGTTAGTGCACCCCATTCAAATCGGATTAATCAGATGTCAAGTTTTATCGAACGAAATCACGCTTCATTTAAACAGTTTTAAACGATATAAACAAAACTATACTGATCCACGGAAATGAAGTCGAGTAATGGGTGTGGTGATTCAGACCAAAAAATGTTTTACGGCCTCGGTCACCCCCCAGTCCTGTTTTTTTTTTTTTTTTTTTTTTTTTTGGAAACAGCAACGCTTCCCACGCCCACAGAAGATGGAATTCAAAGATTATTATAGTTTTTGAGGGGGACACTTCAGCCCTGGATACTAAGCATAGCAGTCCACCTATCATATTTCCAGTCAAACAGGTTTCTGTCCTCTTCCTCAAGTCCTGCGTACGAAAACTAACTTTGACAGCATGCTCATTTAAAAAAAAAAAAAAAAAAACAGCTTTACGGGTTACATTATGCCAGTAAGACATTACTTTGTTACTCCCGGAGACTTCGTTAACAGCCCGTCTTAGGCGGTTATCACCGTCTTAATCACAACGCAGTACATAACCGTCGCACGTTTTAACCACAAACCCCTACCTCGGCGCACGCCGAGACTGGGACACAACCACCTCCCCCTCGAAAGAGAAAGGCATTTGTGTTTCTTGCGTTTACTGGAATGGCAAAGTCGGCGCATTTCACGACGCCTTAACCGGCGCGCTACTTTCGATTAGGCGGACGGTGTGATTCTCATGCTATCGAGCACGGAGATGACAGCCGGTGTCAACTGGCATAAATGCGAAGGGAATTAAGTTTCTGTAAGAGCGACTGGACGGCCACTAAACGTAGTCACCGCGAAATGGGCTGCTAAAATGCGTAGACAAATCCAACAGTGCAATTTTAAAGTATTTTACAGGAGTGTTTTAGTCTTTGGACAGACATATACTTTGCCTGAGTTTTCGCACTACACCTCTAGTATCCTACCCCCTCCCAGCGTATTATTCCAGATACAGTGGAACCTTTAAAACAGGTGTGAAAACGTACACGAAAGCTAAATAGTAAGTAGACATATAACGAAGTAAGCCATTAGATAAAATAAGTTAGGGAATGGAACAGACCGTATCATACCAAGTTGCTGATTGCAAAACTACCTACCTTACAAGAGCCGCGGCAACACCTACTTTTTTCCGTTGAGCAAAGTACAATTCTGAATTTTTTTAAAAGAGTCAAACCTGATTCCCCACCCCAGCATGCACGCGCAAAGGCACGGGCGCAGGTCCTCTTACCTTTCCGACACTGTCGAGCGTGTTATCCTACTCCGTCTTCCCCCCCGTTTTCCCTGATTTCTTTTTCCTTTCCCCCCGTTTCTTGTCACCCTCACTGCAGTGTGTTAAAGTAAACGTATCACTAAGGAGCGAGGCTGACAGGGAGGGAGAGGGAGGGATAGAGAGAGCGAGAGAGCCCTCCCACGGATGTAGAGAAAGGCGGCTTGAGATGTTTGCCTGCATTCTCTATTGGCTCGGGAGGAGGCGCAGCCGTTGGAATAATTTGGATCTCCTCCCTTTGCCATGGTGAAAAAGTAATGACATCATTGAAGACGGGGAGGGGGGGTATGTGGGAGAGCGCAGAACCGGGAGGTGGCGGTAGGGTGTGGGTGGTGGATGTTTTACGTCGGTGATTTCAAGCCGCATTGACTCGCTCTTTCGCTTGTAAGTTGTTTTTGCTCGGTATGGACAGAAGTTGCCCTGGATGGCGGAGACGTCGTTAAAGATGCATACTATAGCAGCTTTGCCTTTATTTACCGGTACATGCGTTCATTTGTATGGAGTCGTACCCACGGTGGGAATGTACGCACGTCTTAGAGTTAGGATACTTGTTACAGTTCTTGTTATGTAATCCGAGAAAAAATACGAGTTGTTAAACGCCTGATCGCAGGGGAAGAGATACCGCGTTCTCAACAATACCCCTGACGTTTAAAATAAATTCCCTTCACTGCTCCGGCTGGGGCGTTGTATATATATGCAGGTTTTCATTTAACCTAGGTACTTAATTTGTCGTTTGACCTGATCATTTTCCGCAGTTGAACTATTTAAACCTCTTGCAGAATTAGTTATGTTCACATTGATTCACGAGTTTCAACATTTAAATCTTATTTTGACCCAGCCCATTAGTTCATATATGCAGATTTACTTGATTTACCGAAACGTAAAATTCTTAAATCTGGGGGAGAAGTTTAATAAAAGGGATTGCGGTGAATCTATTACATCGGATACGTAAGTTAACTTCGGTAACAGACGCTGTATTCATATTTCGCACCACCGTATGTCCCCCTCGCCATAATTCCAAGAGCACAAATCCGAGAGTTTTAAATATAAAAATTATATTCAGAAATGAACTTATCTTTTTTAGTCTGCCGAAATAAAGCCCCGATGATATGTTTGAAGAATTTTAAGGCATTCCGATTAGAAAACAAATCCGGAATTTATTAATAATCACCGAGTTTGATGGGGTCTGTAAATCATTGTTTTATTGATTTTCCATATTAAAAACTTGCTTGGCTATGAAGTATGCGGATGCTGGAAGGTCTCCGCTGCCTTCGTTCCTGAGCTGTTTTGAACACGTTTTATCCATACAGATGGAAGCGGATTTGCAATCACATGTGTTCCGTTTTGGGCGATGTCTACTGTACTAAGCTTTCACTACCAAGAGTACACCATGTTCTTGAGCCGTTCGCTACTTATCCGGTAGTGCTGTGTTTTCAGATCTGTGTTTCTGAAGATATGAGACCTCTGACTGAAATTATTACATCAGTACATTTGTTTTTGCAATATAAAACGATACAAATCTTTTACATCTGTCCTCGAGTTTTCCCCCATGAAGCTAAGCTATATGCAGAAACATACTGAGCAAGGAGTAGGTTATTTAAAAAGGTCATTGAGATAGAACAGTGGAATATGATGTGATATTTCATAATGAACATTTGCATTTGAAGATCCAGTGACTCAATGGATTTGCATGAGATTGCATGCCATCTAACTAAACATCCTAACATTCCCATGCACACTTGTAAGGCTGGATGTGCAGGATCACAAAAATAAATTATTTGGTATTGGATTGCGTGCCCTGTGATGGGTTGGCATCCCATCCTGGGTTGTTCCTTGTCTTGTGCCCATAGCCTCCAGGATAGGCTCCAGACCACCCAGGACTCTGAATACGATAAGTGGTTACAGAAGATGGATGGATGGATGGATTGTATTGGAGAATTTGAGTGAGTGTTATAGACTCCAACAAGAAAGACAACAGTTTTTCCTTATCAAAAGGTTTATTATTATTATTTTTTTTTTACTATATTTAATTCAGCTCCACAGTTTGTCTATGCTACAGATTGATAAATATCAAATAATAATCTGATTGAAAATTTACACTGTACAGATATACAATGCTAGTGACAGTTCAAATGTTTGACATTGCAAAACAGTTGAGGTTCACTTTTCCAACAATTAATCATGTAAATGAGGGTTAGGGTGGACAGCAGAGGGACTACATTTCTAGGAACTATGTTTTGTCATAACAGCAGGAAGAAAATGTTGAGTTTACAGGTGCAGTTTAAAATGTGTCACGTTTACACTTTTTGTAACTCATTAAGGCAGTCTCGGGTCACGTCTCTGACATCAACAGAATATTTAGCTCCTCTTGCATACCTTTTTGGAAAACTTGAAGGCAACCGACAAAATACCAAATGCTACAGAAGCATGCACTGACAAGCGTTTCCTTGACAGATATTCAAACTGGTCACTGACAAATACTCACCCACAGACAACTTCAGATCCACCGCAGGTAGCAGGAAGGCAGTCAATACTGTACTTAACCAATCACTGACTTTGTAGTGACTGGCAGCAGACATATGTTATCCAATGATATGTAAAGGCAGGCTCAGATTTTGTGTTAGCCTTCTAAAAGCATAATTTAGCATTAGCTAGTATCAGAGTATTACAAAATGACTGGTTTTGCTACAACTACCAAAAATGATATTGGGGTGCTCTTTATACTGTCCTTAGACTCAACAAGACAAACATGATCCCAACCGTCCCAGACTCCTGGGTGTTCTCACAGGGTCAGATTATTTAGTTCCTGTCATCTACTGTCTTTTTTTTTGTTCTTTCAGATCCCTTTTTGCCAAACGAGCTAATTAAAATCCCTGTAGATCAGCAGTCTAAGACAAACATTCTTTGAAGTCCACTGAAGGTAATGCTACAAAGGAAAAATCATTACCTTCCACTCAACTGTTGGACACAAAGTGCTTAAATTCATTTACCTTCATTATCAGTTTCCCATTGATGGACAGGGATTCACCACCAGAGCAGTATTACGCTCCAAGAGTGAAAATGTTCTTCATTTACAAGGCACGTTCCACCTTGGACCGGAGCCTGCTGTCTTTTGGTCACAATTCTAGTAACTTCGCATCCACTCCATACGATTACAGGAGAGACACAGACAAGACTTGTGTCATGTCGTTGCTAATCTGCACACGCCGGTCACAGCCTTGGCGTGTTCCTTCATAGATTCTGGCTAGAATGCTCTCATATTGCAATGGATCACTCGCACAGTCTGCCGATAAGCAGCCGAAGCCGGCGGGCTGAGAATCGGTAACCATGGAGATTCCTCACAGCAAACTTATGCAACGAGTTAGCATAAGCGGAGAAAATATATATATATATATATATATATATATAAAAAACACATACAGGAAGTGGGGGTATTACAGAAGGTGACCATGTCATCTAACACTTGGAGCATGAGTAACAATGAATGTGGGAGTTACTGGAGAAGAGATGAAAAAATTTGGCTAGTGGAGGCTCTCATGCTTGAGGAGCATAGGCCCCACCCTTCCATTTCTGGGGGGGCAGGTGTTGGGGAGCGCTCCTCAGGGTGGGGACCTGTCATGTCTCTCCCTTGTGTCCTGCCAAAGGGATGACGAACACAGTGATGTCGTCCCCAGAGCCAAGCTTGTCGTTGGGCAGCCTCCAGCCTCGCTCCTTCAGCACCCCCCGTGAGCGCATCAGCAAATCCTGGGCAGCCAGCGTGTACCTACGAGCAGGACAGAGGCATAACAGGGAGTCAGAAAAGCAGAGTATGGATTGTACTGTTGTTCACTGCATTTAGAGCAGTGATTAACTGTCATGGCTGTAGTTGACCATTGTGTGTGCAGGTATTTCCGTCTTAGAAATGATGAGATTCTTACACTGGTTAAACTTGTATAATATTTAGCTCAATGAACTACTTAAGTGACATACAAACCACAAGCACACATTGTAGCCCCGCCAAGACCAGTCCAAAAAGAATACTATAATGTCGAACTGAGAAGTACTCAAGGTAACTACGCCATCTAGTGGTTTTAAAAATGAAACATTTAAATTATATATATAAGAAATATCTACAGTATATATGCCAAGTTCCATTTTTTCCATCACAATATGGTTTTGAAATAATAATGTGGAACTTGAAAAATTTTCAATAATGCTATAAAATTGAATTTGTTTTTAATGTAATGTGTATCTAGCATGCCCCCTACTGGACTCACTGAGAGTTGAAAGTCCTCCCTTACATAAAATACATGCATAAAAGAATCAAATTAAACTGGGCAAGTTGTCTCTAAAGGCGACAATGTACCACGGTGGAAAACCCTACTGCTTCACAGCAGTAGGTTTGGGGAATCCTGTCCCCGTCACTGTGTGTGTGAGATTAGTTTACAGGTTTTCTCTCTTGGTCCTTTTGGTTCCTCCCACAGTCCAAAAACATGCAGACAGGCAAACTGGAGCTCTGTGTGGGACTGACATCCCATCCTAGTTTTATCCTGCCTTGCTGGGAGAGACTTCACCCCCCCTCCCCTCCCCCAACACACACACACGCACACATGATTAGATAAATGCCTGGAAGAAAGATGGATGGAAGTCATTTTTACAGTTAGGTTCTGAAACCATATCTCTGTTTATAGTGGGAGTGGAATTAACTAGCTGGAAATGAAAAATGGCACACAATCAGCAATTAGTACGTAATTCAAACCATCAGTTCCTACTGTAATCAACTAAGTATAAAATTATACCGTCTGGCTAAATGAATGAGTTTAATTTCCCTGTCAGGTCTAGTGTCAAAACAAAATGGTTGATCTACTGTATGATGTATTTTCCAAATCAATTTTATATACAAAGTATATAAAATGTATATAAACATATTACTTGATTTATGCTCATGTTTGGCTGCTACTTTGGTACCTTCACTGGCCTTTTGTGATTTACACCTAAACTTGGATCACGTTTTCAAATTCCATTCTGCTTATAATAATGACAGTCACGGTGAATTACTGAAACAATGACGTTAATGTCCTCAGTCTACTGATCCCCAAAACTTAATCTGTGCACATTTGAAACTCTGATTCTTTCATCTGCTTGGTTTTTCTTCACACCAAAGGTGTTCTTGCAATCAGTGGTTAGTGACGCATGTGACAAAAGCACATATTGATTCTGAACTAAAAAAGTGTTGGAATAACATGTCAATATTGGTGGAAATACCTCCCCCACTGTCCTTTGAAGCAAGGGCGTACGTTGGCAGTTAATAAAGCCACTGATTTTCATTATCTATTTCGGAGTTTCCGCAATTGCTGATCCCAAGAGAGCACACAGAGGCAAGCTTCAGCACACGCTCATGGACACACGATAAAAAGTCAACAATTAACTTAGATTACATCTCTTTGGAAAGCAGAGTGCACAGAGGGAATTCATGCAGACGAAGGAGAACATTAAGACTCAACAGGCAGAGCTGGCAACAGAAAAAACCTCACTAAGGAGGAGGTGTGATACGGCAACATCCTGTGCCATGTAGCTAAGAACAAATCAAGAACAAAAGAAAAACTCTTCCAGAATGTGCAGTAAGCCTCCAAAACCATCAGCGATCAGCAAACTAACCTCATAGGGTCGATAGGGTCACAACCTGACAGGAAGTTTGTCACCGCGTCGGCAACCTCCTTATCCGTGGTGACATCCCATAATCCATCTGTTCCCATAACCATAACATCATCAGGGCCATGCTCATACTCCATTAGGTTGTAAACCTGCACCTGTGGGAGGTGAGTAAGAGTAACATTAAAGATGTCATCCTTCATCTCCTACACTGCACATCATCTAAGTCTAAGACATGCTGCTTTACTTTTAAGGTGCAACATTGCAGATTTTTGTATCACACAAATCCGCTAAGTTAGAAACTCACAATATTGCGTCGCACAAAAACACGCATGCAAAACACTGAGCTGTTCCAACACAATCCAGATGGTGGTTCTTATGTCACTTGCTTTTGTCAATACACTAAACTCTGTGCTAAAGCACCAAGCTAAAACAGTAGAATGTGCCTGTGAGGGGTCCCTTCTGTGCATAAAGGTCAGTGTTTCTCAACCCGGCTCTCAGGGACCCCCAGAAAGTCCACGTTTTTGCTCCAGCAAGAAAAAATGTTGACTGCTCTGGGGTCCCATGGGCTGGGTTGAGAAACAATGAAAAAGACAATAATGAGTCAGGCCAACAACTGCATGTGCAGAGCAAGCATCGGTAGGCTGGGGGTCAGTGAATCTGTGCTCTGTCTTCACCTCCGGGCAGCAGGACAGGAAGGGCTTGATGTGGATGTTGGAGTTGTACACCTTCAGGTCGTGATCACCGAGTCCCCGCGTCACACCGATGGTGGCCATGACCCGAGCCTACGGCCGCAGGAACACACAACAGAATTAGTCACTGTACCTGAAGGCGCAACGCGAGTCACATTCTTCCGCTCCAATTCCCAGAAAATCCCCTTGTGAAGGAATACAGACTCAGGCACTAGGTAAAAATGATTTGCTGCTGGAAAAACACTTCACTGCAGTCCTATATGTGGCTCCAAGCTGAGCCTGTTACCTTGAAGGCTTAATTACATCCAAATTTACATTTAGCTGTATCTCACATAAGGACCAAAATAAAGCTCAATAAAGGCTCAAGACTAAAAACACTTGAGGTGATATTGGCAGTTAACCTTTGGGATCTTCATAAACAATATTTTAAAATAGAGGTAAAAGGGATAATGATGACAATAAAAACTAATTGATACTGCAATGCCGTAAATCAGATTCTGATAACAGTCGATTCACAGAATGCCTCATCAGTAGTTGGGCAAAGATACACTATCCAACTTTGTCTCCATTACCACTTTATGCCTGTTCTAGGAGATGCGGGTGGCATGGTTATGTAACAAACTATTTGGTTCAAATACCTGAAATACTGCAGCATTTCAGGAAACAAAAACCGATACAAAAAACTGATTAGAATTTCTGAGAATATCCCAGAAATCAAACTGCTCCATATGACAGGCTGAAACCCACTCGAGTGTGACATGAGATGGCAGAAAAAAAAGCTGCTGAAAAACTTTAAAAAGTAAAACATAAAATGGAAGTAATGCTTTTACTTTTTTGCCTTCTCCGTATATCAAAGGGAACTTGAGGTCTTCCTCCACGATTGTCTTGTAACCCCTGGAAAAAACACACCATCTATTTAGCTGAGAAGGGCAGGTAGATATGTACTATCCTTAGTCAACACTGTCGTCCTGCCATGAACATTGTGGCCCTGAAGTGTGAAACTAAATTAACATTTTAATACAAGTTTTACTACAAAATTTCTTTTAATTGGAAAAGTAAATTACATTCTGAGAACAAATTAAAATTGCAATGCTGTAATAGAGTCTTGGTTAGAAGATGAATGGATGAAAGGTATAGAAATTAAGAATAAACAAAACGGCATTTTGAAATCATTTCCTAGAACAAACATGCCTGAAAGCGCATATTTCATAAAACACATTAGCCAACATTATCTGATCACTTTCAGACAAGAACACATATTGTTTTCTGAAAGTTGCTTTTAAACGTCCAAGCATATACACAGTTTAAATCACAGATACACAGATGTCGATCAATATTCCCTTACCATCCAGTCATGGTGTGATCCCTGAAGAGCATCTTCTTGCCCAGCTCACTGTACTGGATCCTTCGTGGGAACTCGATGTAGGTAAACTCATTCCCCAGCAGCTCTGGCCTAAGGAAACCCTGAAATAACAAAACACACGAGGGGCATAAATCTGATCAACCACAAATTCATCAGTGACAACATTTTAACACGGGGTGAATCTCAATATGCGTACTTGTGTTCTTGTGAACCCGTTTTTACATCATCTTCCATTGCTGAAAATCAGTTCAATACTAAGAACACAAGTACAGAGGACGGTAGAAATTCCCAGATGTTGGTCTTGCTCTGCCCCAAATATTAAGGATACATGGGTTATATTCTCGCCGAACGAGACCAGTCCCATGATTCATTGCACTCCAAGTTCATTCTTGGAAGGCAAGTTAGCAAGACTGGTTTTGCCAAAACCACAAGTACGGTCTTTGCATTCTTGGTACTGGGATTCACCCACGATTTCATAAGCATCCCAGGGTTAACTATAGTCAACAGACCATGGAAAACTGCACCATTTAATACAACATGCCAACCGTCTTGTTCCGGTAGCTTGTATATCCCCATTCCAAGGAGTCTGAACCAGTTCCCACATGTGAAACACAGAAACTACTATGAGCAGTATTGGACCGGTGCCCCTGACGAGTCCTCACAAGGTACTGCAGACGCTGCCTCTCAGTCTCAGGAGTGAACTCGCTGGACATGGGAATGACCTCCTTGTTGCGGATGATGATGGCTCTGTGGGGACGAACAAGGTGCCAATGAGGACGCGGAGAAGATGGATGCCGCAAGGGCTGTGTCGAGGACACCCTGCACATATGGTACGCAGTACACAGATCAAACTGCGGGGAACGATGAATATTCACACAGTCAGTCTATGCTGATTGTGACTGAATGTACACCGACAGCTAACAATATGGACACAGTTATATACTGAGCCTCTGAGGATTTCACTGCTATTACACACTGTATCAGCTTGCATAGCAGGACAGCGACACCAAGTACCCCAATACTGACAAACAGGCCAAGGTTGAGGTCAGCTTATGGCAACGGAAGGGTGAGTTGCAGCCATTTACCTGCTATCTCCTGCATTAGCCACGTAAAGTTTCCCCATCAAATGGACTGCGGCTAAAGCACAGCAGCCTCCAGATATGCTGTAAGACATCTTTTCCTTCTCGATCAGGTCGTCCTGCAAGTAGCGCAAGTAGGAAATGGAACCAGAATCTGATCCGAAGCAATAATGGTTCATCACAACCATCCATTTTATTTGGCATGTTAGATTAATGTGCAACGGTTAGACACGGGAGTAACTATATTTTATCTTTGTACGGCTCTCCATGCTAATATACAATGGCAACGGTAATCATTTTAGAATCAGAGCAGAACTGGAACAAAATTCTTATTTAACTATCTAGACATGTTCATTTATTTCAATGGCCAGAACTATTGCAGTTATTCTGATTGCAGGCCTTCTAACTGTCTTAAAGAATTATAGATCTAGCTCTGCAAAAGCCTTATTGCTAGCAGAGTATCGTTTCACCAGAAAATATATTGATTCATTTCATTCCAGTCTCATCTTACTTGATCCCATCTGACCTTCTGAAAGTCTGCCTGGTTAAAGCAAGTTTCCGAAACGCTACATGTTTAAAGCTACTGCGGGGAAGACAAAGCAAGGTTCATATACTGTATGTTCTACAGTTACCATCTGTTTGAAGGCATTTTCAATGGTTCCCATCACCAAAGCCTCCAGACTGACAGTCTTCTCCATATGAAAGCGGGTTGAGGGGTCACAGGGGGAGTCTGGATCCTCTTCCTGCGTTACCCCCTTTTTTGAGTCCACCTGGTAGGGGCTGCCATTCTTGGTCAAGCAGATAGGGGGCGCTTGACTTGGGTTCTCTAGCAGGTGTGCGATGTCACATAGGCGGTCCCGGATGAGGCGGTGCAGCAGTCTGGAGGCCATGATGGCAGCTCCAGAGCCTGCATGGCCATCAAAGACACCCCAGAAGTGGAGCGGGATGCCCGTGCCATCCTAAACACAACGAGAATAATCACATCAGCTCTGTAACCGGTGACGGCCACCACACAAACTACTAGAGCTGCTCGATATCACACAGCAATAATTACCATGACTGTAGATGACAGGTGTAAAATTTTGTCTGGACACTGGCTTTTCGCTGCTATACAGACATTTACTTACGGCCATAATTCGATGAGCAGATTAGTAGTACGCGTAAAATATGAACGAGAGGCTTATTGTGATGCCCAAAACTCTAATCTATATAAATTTGGCATATCCTTATGTTTAATGAACGTGCCAGACTTTAATCTGCAAAAATTACCGCCACACCACCAAAGTCTTCTTACTTTGTTTATACACAAAATCTCTTCTTTTAAAAGATGTCGTGGCTGCTGACCTGTCCCTTTCTTCACCGCCATTTCCAAGGTTTACCAAAACAGTAGCATGTGGTATACTCTGCTAACCGAGTTCAATAAATATAAGGATAATAATGTCCGAAAAGAGCGCTTTGAAATGGGTGAGGTCTCTGTAAATCTGAAGACCTACAATTTAGGTAGGGCCTGCAATCCTAGGTACAAAAGAGACACTGAGCATTTTTCCACACTTGACTGGGACTGCACAGGCCTCACAGAAGTATGCTAAATAAAAGGTTTAATGGGGGCCCCTGGGGAGCATCAATGGGCCTAACTGGGCCTTTGCCCAAGGACGATAAGAGCTTCTGTCCTAGCATATGAGAGTCTTGGCAGGCCCAAGCTGAGAACATCTGCCCACCCTCGACAGCCTCAGAGAAGCTCAGAGAAGGAACTGGTGTGCTAAGGGATGATGTCACTGCTTTTGGCAGCAGGTGGGGGAAGCTGTGGCAGGCCTGAGGGACATCAGATGCTGGCTTTGCTGCGAGCATCCATCTGCATTATTTACATTATTTATTCATCTCACGTACATTCCTCTCCAGACTGACATGAGGCCTGTGATTTATTGGATAAAACTGTCCAGTAAGCCAATGAGAACAGGACAGGTGACAGCTTAACCCACTTATATGAATATTAAAGGGAAATCCGCAGAAATATGATTTAATAATTTCCTGCTTCTTATGGTAGTGAATCTATACCAAATAACACTAATTAGTAATAAATAAAACTGCGGAAATTCCTGCAAATCGTAATATTTGAAGATTTTAAGTACCAACAATCAGAAGGAACACTGGATTACACATGACAGGTGCTCACACTGAGACTGGAAAAATACAAATTTCTTTAGCGTTTCTAGACCTCCAGATCGAATCAAAATAAAATTTCTCCTGCTGACAAAGCATGAAATTTTGGAAAGCAAACAACTGAGGCTCTAAGGTGGATCGGTTATTTTTTTGACACATAACATGATTATCAAAAAAAATGTTTGGGTGGAATTCCTCTCCCTCAGGGACACAACAGCAGAGTTCCCCATAGGCACAGAAAAACCACCATGCTACCTGCAAACACACATCTCTGCATAAAGCTACTTCATTACTTGAACAGTGTGTTGCAGAAAGGCAGAGAACCCTGCACTCATGGTCTGCAAACAGCAATTTATGCATATAAGACAATTCCTGTCCATCTCCCACCCTGTTATGTCTCAGTCACAGGGGCGTTGCTAGAGATTTTGGGCCCCATGAAAGCATATCATATTAGGCCCCCCAGTCCAAACCAATCCAGTTATTTTCCTAATTTTGTAGGGCCCCTGTCACTCAGGGGCCCTTGGAATCGTCCTAGCTTTCCTCCCCCTTACGGCGCCCCTGCTCAGTCATGACTTTATATCCAATCATTGAACCATTAAACAAAAATCGTTCTGGTCAGATCGATAAAAGCGACCATTTGACACAGTCATGGGGCTGAAGATGGGGTTTTGCCAGGGATCAAATTTCCCTTTGAAAGTTACGGTGACGGGCAGACATGAGATCAGTATGACACAAGAGTAAAGACTTCAGAAAAGAAAAAAAGAAAAGGACATGCTATGATGTTTGTAAGAAAAGTAAATATTGAATTCTGGTTTGTGAGTGTTGAGGATTGAAAAGGGCAAGGAGCCCATTGGTTCTGGGCCAAAGGTGTAAAATAACGAAGTACAAATATTTCTTTACTGTACAGTAAAGCAGGTTTTTCAAGATTTGCACTTTAACTTCGCCAGATCTCTGGGCCAAATAACCAGTTTTTATTCCAGTACATTCCGCACTATCATTGTCACTCACCCAATAAAAAAAGACTATTCCATGCACGCAGAGCACTTGATTAGGGATGCATGATTGTGGGTAAAATATGAATCATCACTTTTTTAAACTCGATCCATCCATTTTCCAACCCGCTTATCCTACTTGGTCGCGGGGGGTCCGGAGCCTATCCCGAAAGCAATGGGTACGAGGCAGGGAACAACCCAGGACGGGGGGCCAGCCCATCGCAGGCAGAGATGCCTAATATTATATATTGGTTAAACAGGCCTGTTTAAACTACCAATATAAGTCAGCAGTGGTAGATCTACTGCTGAAAAAATGGTGATGATTGTACTGGAGGATGAGGGTTTTAGTCGGCTCATTCACCACTTATAAGAGGTCTAAACGTACCAGCCCATGAAATGTTTATAATTCATTATTAAATCTTGCCTGTAGAATGATGTTTCGTTTTCCAAAGAATCACAGTCATTCCGCTGTTCTGAGCAGCACGTTTGGCAGGTTTCACTGCTTTTTATAAATACAAAGAACTGACGTGACTCAGTTTTCCTTATCATTCTGCACTTACTAACTTACAATGCTATGTTCAAACCTGTCTTGAGTGAATGTTAAAGTACAGGTTGCTTCTTCTAACATCAACAGATTTGACTGTGTAGTACTTTATACTTCAGTACTTATAATACCAGGTATTTTTCCACTTTTAGTTGAGTAATATACTGGATGACATTTACCTGGGTAACATTTTGGTGTAGTGTGTACGCTTTTACCTATGTACTTTTCCCACCATTGGTCTGGACAGGTTTACTTTTGTGAAAAAGAACAAGGCATATCAATCTCAAGATGCACGTTAGCTAGAGAGAGATGGAGTGAATCCACAGAAACACCAGATCATGCACTCTCCCTCCGGACATAGCCAAGCACCCCACCCCACAAATCAGTTATATTTACATTTAATTGCTTAGTAACAAGAAGACTCTAATTATTATATATGGGACTGAGAACTGCATATATATACGGTAATGTGGCAGCAAATTATTATTGGACCATAGCATCTGGTTTAAATTCCTAACAGAGTTGAGGTATCTATATATATAAGGAATCACACTGCAGAAAGTCTCTGGTTTCCTCAAACAGGGCTTTAACTTAATAGAGGCTTGTCCAGAACTTGCTGGTTTTAAAAAGCCTTTTTAATTAGAAGCCAATTAACATACAGTGAAAAGCCTTCCTCTGTCTATGCAATGATATTGAGTTTCCATTACACAAATAAGGGATGCATAGCACGATATGATATCCTGAGCCCTGCAGTCCTGGATGTCCCCACCCTGGGGCCGCTGGACTCTGAGTCGCGTCGGCGGCTAGCAGAGCGGCCAGCAGCCCTGTCCTCACCCCGTTCTCTTCCAGCATCACCGAGTGTCTCTGCTTGCCGCTGATCTTCTTAACGAACAGCCGCTCGCAGCATGCTTGGTCCTCGTTCAGCATGCTCTTCCCAGCATTGATAACCCTGAGGAAAAACAACAATAAAAACATATAATAATAAAAATAAATAAATAAATAAATAAATGATAATAATAATAAATGCACCCAAGAGAAAAATGGCTATTCTACATTTAGGCCTACATTAACACAGGGTCTGACTTGTGACTTTCCTGAAAAGGATTACAAAAGGGCAAAGTGACAAAGTAGAATCCTCAAATGCCACATTGTATTTAGTTCATTACCTGGCCAGGAATTAATGTCACCTGCTCTTCCATTAGTAAGTCACGCAACTTGAAAGCATATATCACACAGCAGTCCTACATGACTGACTCAATATAGCTTGGCTACAATGGCAAACTTTCAGCTCCAATACTGACCTGCAGAGTAAACTATAGGCACAAACTCATCATAGGTAGGAGTTACTTGACAGTGGCCTTTTAAACCACAATTGATATTACCTTTAGACTGTTGGGGATTTTAATATTATGTGTGTTGTCCTGATATGCCCATGGCTAAGGGCCTTCTAAATCTTATTGACTCTTTTAATTTTGTGCAATATGTGGTTGCTCCAACACAAGAACATGGACACACACTTGATCTTGTATTTTCCGATCATAGTCCTGTATTATTTGATGTTGTTCTTGCCTGCACCACAGTCAAACCTCAAGCTGCTGCTCGGCGCTGTCGTGTTTTTAACTCCTCCACTGCTGTTCAGTTTTCATCTGTTTTTAACCAGAACTGTAGCACCTCTGAGTTTTTATACAGCGAAACTGAGGAGCTGAGCTCATGGTTTTATTCCACTTGCCAGACTGTATTGAACACTGTAGCTCCATTAAAAACCAGGCAGCCTGAAACCAAACCTGAGCCTTGGCTGAACGACACGACCCGAGCTGCCCGACGTGAGTGTCGTCGAGCCGAGCGTAAATGGAAAAAGGACAAACCACAAGTGTCACTTCAAATGTTAAAGGACTGCTGGTGTCGTTTTCAGACAGCTGTTAAAGATACTAAAAGACTATTTTTATCTGTTATTTTGTCTAATCGTAACAATCCTCGTGTTTTATTTAGTACCATAGACTCTGTTCTCAAAGCCCCAAAGATAGACAGTACTGAACCCTCTTTCACTGCTTGTGAAAACTTCCTGCACTTTTTTTATTGAGAAGGTCACCTCTACCAGGGCTCTTATACAGTAGTTCCTGTTGCTTATGATCCTTCAATATCTGGTTCCTGCTCTGGTGTCTTTGACAGTTTTGAGCCTGTAACTTTGACTTCCTTACAGGAGATTGTTGATCATCTAAGTCCTGCAGGTTCTCCTAAATATGTTGTTCCCCCACGACTATATAAAGAGATTTTCCCCACTGTGGGGCCTTGGGTTCTTAAACTGGTAAGTAGTAGTCTATCTTCGGATGTAGTCCCTAAAGATTTTAAACACGCAGTTGTCCAGCCTCTTATTAAAAAATCTGCTCTTAACCCTGCAGTTCTTAATCATTGCAGGCCTATCTCTAAACTGCCTTTTCTTGCAAAAATTCTTGAAAAGATAGTTTACAATCAACTAATGGCCTTTCTGGATGAGCGAAATGTTTTAGAGGTTCTTCAATCTGGTTTTAAGCCTTTACATAGTACCGAATCAGCCCTTTTAAAAGTTTTTAATGACATATTTTTAGCCACAGACTCTGGAGACTGTTATTCTTGTACTTTCAGACTTGACTGTGGCTTTTGATACAGTGGATCATGCTATTTTACTCTCCCGTTTGGAGCAGTGGGTGGGCATCAGGGGTTTAGCTCTGGAGTGGTTTAAGTCATATTTGGTGGACTGAACTTTCTGTGTCAGCTTAGGTGCCCATGTGTCCTCTTCCGCTCCCCTCCTGTGTGGGGTCCCACAGGGTTCAGTTTTAGGTCCCTTGCTTTTTCTGTTATATCTGCTCCCACTTGGATCCATACTTAGGAAGCATGACAGCTTTTCATTGCTACGCAGATGACTGCCAGATCTATGGTCCTTTAAAGAAGAAAGATTCTCATTCTATATTGCCATTACTGAAGTGTCTTGAATACATTAAGGCCTGGCTGTCTCATAATTTCTTAAAATGTAATGATAAGACAGAGGTGATGGTTTTTGGTAGCTCCACTGAGACCCCAACCTAGACTTAGCTCTTTGGCACAATATATTAAGCCAATTATCACTAATCTGGGGGTCAAGGTAGACGCTGACCTTAAATTTGACGGCCAAATCAGGGCTGTGGTCAAATCTAGCTTTTTCGAGTTGAGGAAGTTGGCTAAAATATGGCCAATTCTTTCTAAGCAGCATTTTGAGACTGTAATCCATGCCTTTATTACCACTCGGCTCGATTACTGCAATGCGCTTTACAGTACGTAGGGATCCTATATTAATCAGATTCAAAGGGTGCAAAATGCAGCTGCATGTCTTCTAATTGGCCCACGGAACTACAAGCACATTTCACCTGTTATATCCATGCTCCACTGGTTGCCTGTTCATTTTTAGATTCATTTTAAAATTCTTTTATTTGTTTTTAAGGCTCTTAATGGTCTTACCCCTCCCTACCTCTTTGAGCTGTTACACCCTTACATACGCTCCTGGTCTCTCAGGTCATCTGGCCAGCTGCTCCTGCGTGTGCCTATAACTAAGCCTTAGCATAGAGGGGGCCGCGCTTTCGCTGCTGCAGCTCCCAGAATGTGGAATGATCTGCCCTTGCATGTTAGACAGGCTTCTTCTCTGTCTGTTTCTAAATCCCGCCTGAAAACCTCTCTTTCCTTTGGCTTTCGATTCCTTGTGAGATGTTGATTTTAGTTTATTTTATTTGATGGTAAATCATCTTATTTTGTATATGTGCCTATTTTATGAACTGTTATTTACGTAATTTTAATAGTTTCATTTTAAATTCTCTGTACAGTACTTTGGTCCTGTGTGGTTGTTTTAAAGTGCTTTATAAATAAAGTTGGTATGGTATGGCAACCAAAATACAAAGTCCTTCAAAGGACTCTGACCTTATACTGGATATTTATATTGAGTTATTTCCTTGCATATAAGATTAATGTGCCACCCCTTAAATTAATTTAATTTATCACTCTTATATGTCCCCCTCGCTCCAGGCTACGCCCTTGATTGCCTGAGTAACAATTTTCAGCTGTTTAAACACACTAAACCCAAGGCTACACACATCATTGAGACAGCATTGTCACCAAAATTAATTGCACGTGAATATGAATGGTTTAACTGTGCCCTTTCTGTGTGACCCATTTCTAAACAGGTATTAAAAACATTGGTCATTTTTCATGGAGTTTGTGGCAGAACAATTATTTGTAAACCACCCCTATGAGACCACTTAGTGTTTGGAACCTGTAGAATTAAGGCTGCAGTATAATTCTGTTTGGGATGTGAGCCAATCAGCAGCGTAAACTACTCTGCTCAGTAGGAAAAGTACTCCTCAACTTGCCCTACCTGCTACGATGACTCTAATTGCAAGTTATAACATAATTCGAAAACTGCACTCTGCTTCTTGGCACAAGCACCACAGGCGTGGGAGACAGAGTAGGGTAGGATAGCGGCCAGCCAAGCAGCGGGATTGGCACTAGCTAGAAACTGTCCTGAAAATAATGCGGGATCCATAAAAAGCACAAAACACCTGCAAATGACCAGCGGCAGACATTGAAATGACGACAATTTCATACTCAGAGGATGGAAGTAATTGAATTGGCAAAAAAATGTTCATTCTTATAATTCGGGTTGCCATCCATCCCCTATAACACAGAATCATCCTGTATAATGCTGAATGTTTATTTTCCAATATGGAATGACCCCGTAGTATCGGCCTAAGGGATGGGTTACAGCCCTGTTTATAATGGAGGCGATTACACGTTTATCGTGTGGATTACTATAACGAGTATATGAATTTAGCAACAGTACAGGCCCACACATTTGACCAGCATCAGTTCTAAGTCAGTAATATTAGTAGTCCTATGCCTAATGCATTTGCTTTGGCAATTTTTGTCAGGTATGTTTTTACAACGTTGAGGGGCTGAGTTATGACTTCCGATGTGTCTTCTTCACTTGTAATGAGCAGACCACCCAGCTTCTGGCTGTCTGCCCTATTGTACAGCCTCCAGGCCGTTGCTAATACAGCAGCCAAATTGACAGTTAAAATGATCCAGAGAAACACGCCGCAAACAGAACTAAAAAAAAAAAAAAAAAAGAAAGAAAAGAAGAAATAGACGGTAAATCAGCCATCAACGGCGCTTGTTCCCGCCGGGGCTGCAGCAGAGCGGCGTAGCGGGCTCATGGAGCGCCATTCAGCCTCCGGCAGTCCTCCCTCCCGACCGGCGCCGGTGCATGGAAACGAGCCGCCTGCTCGGTCGCTTATTTAGGCTCAGCTGCGACTCGGCTGGAATGCGAGCATGACACCGCATATATAAGCACCTGAACACGGCCACCCCCGCCACCTCTAAAAATAGATGTCTGCGCTGCAACATGTGACAAGCCTCTGGTTTCCATTGTTATTTGCCTTCGGGCGTTGACAATTTAAAAAAAAATCCTTAATAATTATAAAGAAACAGAGACATTTTTTTAAGGAACATAACATAATTAGGCACCATGTATGGAAATATTACGTGATCTTGACTATTTCGACGAGAAAATATCAGTTTCCTAAAATAACGAAATGATCTTCAGCAATCTTGACATTAAAGCCACTAGACAGCGGGTGTGGTAAACCGTTCAACTATCCTGCAGGAAAATGCAAAATGAAACCACACCAGCTTCATGTGGTGCCCTTATGCATCTCATGCAGACGTGACCAACAGAAATATCCATTACAAACAGGAATTGATCATTCGAAGCGACCTGCAACCTTTTCATGGGGGGAGGTGTGATCGTACGGGTGATTATGGGGAAGAGAAAGGCTCTGTTCCTTATTTCTTCATCTTTAGTCTCCACTGTTTCTTGATGGTGGAAAATATCTGGTACCTCTTAAAACTAAGTAATGACAAATTTCCTTGCCAAAAAGATTAGTTAAA